ATAGAATTCCATAAAGACCTGCTCTTATAGAATTCTATGGATTATTATCAGCATAGAGTATTTTATCTTAGTTCCTATTACAGTGTACTAACGATTTTTCTCCCTCATGAAAAAAAATGGGGGGTCTGTCCCCGCTTGTGTAGTTCTTATGAGGTTAGGTCCAACTCATGCCTTTTGCTTTTATATTGCCCCATTTGGGAAAGGTGGGTAGTTTGGGCGATACGTGTTAGTATTAATTTGTGCAACTAATAAATATCCCAATAAAGTATCAAGTTTGTAAATAATGTATATTTAATACCAAATGACCTAGAAAAACGAGTTTAAAATCCAGTCTTAAAATGATAATCTAAAACTTTTAAAAGATAGTTAATTTGTTAGGCTCGTACCGAACCCCCTGGGTGTCTTATGGGGTAAGTTTTAGTTAGTTTCCCTGTAGCTAGCGCCCCTCCCCTTGACTATATCGTAACTTTCTACTTGCCTGTATCTTCGCACACACGCGCACACACACACTTCAAAACGTCTCTAAAATATACAATATTCCGATGCTTTAAATGTGTATAAAGTGTCTAAATGTAAGAGGTATGCAAAAGTTCAAAAACTATTTTGCATATTTCATTAAAATTTAAAATGTCTAAAAAATATGTGAAGAGATGTTCGATGCTTGGAATGTGTAGTAAGTAAGTAAGTAATATAAATAAAGTGTCCTATATACAATGTTTATTTGGTTGAACATGAGTGTTTTTTTCTTCGCATTCACGCACGCACACACAAGTAAAAGAAGTCAAAAAGTTTGACATGTGACTGTTTCTTTTCAAACATATTGTATGGATTCTATGTAATGTTCCTAGTGTATTGAATATGTTCTAGTTTGTCTACCCAGTACAGGGTACGAGCAGCAATGTTTAGAATCGCATCTTATACTTATTGTTAACGTGTTTCTTTTCTTCTTGTCCAACATTACAGTTACAGCGTATACCTGGAGACTGAATTCGAAGTGTCTACAACGCGAAGATGTCTTCTTTAGCCGATAAGTTGAAGGAAGCCGCCACCGCAGCTCTGACCAGACTGTATGGAAACTATGAATGCATGAGTGAATGAATGAATGGATAAAGAAACAAACTAGTGGATGAATATGTTGCTACTTGTGTAAAATACATGCTGTAGTTTGTCTTGTACAGGATTGGCAATATGTTAAAACTTTTGGTCCAACACAAAAAAATTTCTCACCTAGAGATTTTGACCAGTCACTCTGGTCTTCCTCAGTATACTGACCCAGTGAAGCTTGTCACATGGCTTCTTTGAAGTGTGACGTCAACACTGGGTCAAAGGTATCTGGTAGACGATGTCGCCCCCCGTCGCGGTTCATGATAGGAATGGGAATAGTTGAATGTTTCCTGGATGTGCGTGCATGGGTGAACCAAGGTGATTTTGCACAGCGTATCTAGCATTAATTATAACCTACGCTTTCTTCTTTTCTTTCCTTTTCTGACAACACAGTTCCACCAACTGAGAGGATGTAGTTTCGTGGCTGGTCGGGGGAAATCTGGTGACCACAGCTCTGATCGTGAAGACCAGCAGAAGCAAGTTGACTGTACAAGTTAGTACTGGGGCTTCTATTAGTAAATTATTGCAGGGGTGCCAGAGTATACAGTGCAATTTTACGGAATACAGTACTGCACACTAGTAAATTGCACTGTGTACTAATACGATTGCATTGTATTCCATAAAATTGCACTGTATACTAATACCATTGTACTGTATTCCGTGAAATTGCACTGTATTTCGTAAAATTGGACTTTATTCCGTAAAATTGCACTGTATTCCGTAAATTTGCACTGTATTCCGTAAATTTGCACTGTATACTCTGGTATCCCTGTATTGGGTTTTTTTGACTCAAGACGTGTTATCATTTTGTTCGGGACTTAACAAGTAAGGGGGAGGGGGGGGGGCGCTTGAATAATTCGTAAAATGGGCTTCTTTTGTATTTCTTGCATCTGTGTCTGAATTACCCCTTGGCGTAACCCAGCTTCGCAGGCGCGCGGCGCGGCGATTTTGTGTGTCGATCTGTTTCAGAACGTGCAATTTCCATGCATGCTTCTGTGATAAACATACAATATGTATGGACGTAGACATTGTTACTTTTGGTTTTGCTAATGTTTGAGTTCAGATTTTGTGATACCCATGTATGTATATATTTGCAAGTTGTGTAATGTTTTTGAGGTTCATAGTTTGTTGTGATCATTTTAGTCTGATTTTATGCAGTATTCATGAATGCTTTGAAGTTTAACATAAGTACAAAGGTGTAGATTCTGTAAAGTTGATTTGTTTTGTTATTTAGCTGTTCTGTTATACTTTTTGTCTTGTTTATCATTTATGTGATATCAATATGTATATAACCATGACTTAACCTTAGTTTGCTGAATACACTTGTACCTTTTATATTGGCATGACATAAATAGGTTGGTGTTACGTTATAAGTACGAGAATACAGGGAAGGAAAACCCTGCACAGACACCCAGGGAAGACACCCCTGCACAGAAGTCCTAGGGAGTAAACCCTAGTCAAAAAATCCAGGGGGGATGAAACACCCCTGTCAAAAAAGTCAACCCCGCGCCAAAAGTTTCGCGAGTCAACCAATACTACATAAGACACAGACGGACAGTGGGACCGGCATTTCTATATAGCTATAGACGTTTACACGTAAATGTTATGTACATTAGATTTCTATGTAATTATTGTATATTGTTTGAAAGACATGTATCTATGATTCTAGTCTGAATAGTTCTGATATTGTGTTGCTTCTAGCCATGGGAAATTGGCCCACAATTATTGGCAAACCGACGCTCATCCTGACATTATTATTTACAGTCTCTGTAATTTTGTCTTTTTCTCAAATTTCGTATGGAGTACACTCAGCTTGCATTGTCGTAGAGAAAAATACAATTGGGTTTGAAAAGATTGTGAACAGCCAAGGAAGAATGAGGCTTAAAACGACTACAAATAGACAGTCTAGCTGAATATAACAAATAAAACCAACTGTAGACATAGTATGACTTAACCAAATAAAAATAATAGTAGATAGGCAGAAGGAAAGCTTTAAAAGAAACCTTAGCAAGACAGGGCACAAATAACATTGTCATCTTCGATATAAAATAGAAAATATTAGATAGGCAGGGAGGAAAACTTTAAAAGAAAACTTAGCAAGACAGGGCACAAATAACAACATTGCCTTCTTCAATTCTGGCTGTTCACTTTCACAATAGAAAAAATTCTTTTAACATTTATTCCTTATTACAAACTGCTGTGAGCTGAGTGAAACTCTTTAAACTTTGCTGCTATGTTGTAATTTTGTCGGGACTGTGAGTGGTTGTTGTCAGGATGGCGTCCAAATTTACCTCGGCAATGGAGGCAACACTTTGACGCGGTGCCGGGGCTTGTACCAAGTTTGTCTCCGGGAAATTCCTGTTTGTTATATTAAATGATACATATTGAATAAGTATATACATACTGGTGTACATGTAATCTCATGTACACCAGTATACATATATACTGTCCTTGTCAACAAAACCACCGTCAAAATATGAACAAACGGTATCATTCAATATATATATAGATAAGATAGACTCTGTAAGGTTTGTAACTCTGGTAGCGTAGAAGATGAAATACATTTTGTACTTGATTGTAAATTGTTTGATATTGAACGTGACACACTATTTAGAACAATCCACTTAGACAAACTGTATAAAGGTAGAACAAAGAAAGAGGTATTCAATATCCAGTCTCCAGTAATGACCATAAAATAGAAAAACTATGTGAATTTATATCCAATTGCTTTAAAAAGAGAAGAAATCTTCAAGGCCTAGATGAGTATATTTTCTAGTAGTTGTTAAGACTTTTACGTTATTCTGTTATCCTTGTATCCTATGTATCATGTTACTCAGTATGATATACATGTAACATCACACTCTGATGTATGCATTTAGTCCTACATGAACATGCAATTCAAGATACATTCAATAAAGAAAACTGAATGTCTGTGTGGTCCTGTTTTGAGTGAACACACTGCGGCAAGGAGGATATTGAAGACGAATCCCACTTTCTGATGTCGTGTCCAACATATGAACAGAACAAAACGACAAAAGTTAACGCATTCCATTGCTTCCAAAACTAATGTTACATTATATTACCCCATGCATTCAAAACCAGATATCTTCAATATGCTCCTGCCATGCCCTACTAAGGTATTACCAACCGAACAATGTCGGCTAAACTCTGCATTCTGACCAGATTTAGGCCACATCTATCTTTCGTCACGAATGGAATTTGAGTTAAATTTGAGTCAAATTTAACTGCCAACCACGTCTCAGCGTACTTATTCCAAACACAAGCCAACCACCAGCTAACCATGACCGAATTTTAAAACCTCCCGCCCGCACCTAAAAGTTTCAAACATTTTTGGTGGTGTGTAGTTTAGCCAAATGTGTTCGTGAGGCCAAATTCGTAAATGTGTAACAGTTGAAATTTCAACCTCTTGAATTTTAATATGGTACTTGCAACTCTCGCTCAAGCATTAGTCGCACTGCACTTAAACAAAGCGGTCACAGTTTCAGGTATTTGTAATAAGGTTGTTCATTAACCACATACGATAATACCCATATGGTAGATTTGAAATTGTGTATTTTAGAACCTTTCTGGTAGTGCAATGAGCCTGGAAGCATTATTTTGCTAAAAGCAAGGTGAGAAAAATAGTATGTACACAGCTGCTTGTGCATAGGTCTTTCACAGTTGTTACTTGTATGCGATCTTTATTTGCACAATCCAGGGCCCATTGTCGTTGCTTGGAAACTCTGAACCTTTGTAACAATGATCGACCAGAAGGAAATGACGCACAGCTGCTGGACAGCAGTTTTTGTGTTATAAACACTGCGGATTCAGAGGAAGGAAACTGCTTGGAAGCTGTTAAGTTTGTGGCGGTGACGATTGTAAAAGCTGGCCACAAAGTCTGCGTAACACAGTAGAACAAACGCTCCCCCGACGAGTCTACGAGCTCTAGACGACATTTTTCGAAGCAAATACGACCGTTTAACGTTGTCCTCTGAATTATTGTGCGAATTTTGGAGATCGGACGATCCCTGTCCAATGTTATAGGGCTAGATTTTCAGGCGAAATAAAACAAACTCGTATCTGTGGTGAGTTAGAAATTCCCCTACCTTTCGGCGACCAACAACTTCCTCCTTAGGGGGTCAACACGACTTAAGGACAGACATTTTCGACTGGAGTTTCATCCTTCTGTGAATTCCTCGACCAACGACTTTGAAGGTAATTCTTCAGGATTTCTTAATGTCTGTGCTGCCAAAGCGAAGTAATCTCCAAGCAGATCCCTCTCGGTGGCAAAAAGACAGTATGAAATTGGCCAGGCAGTATCCATTAGCCAGAGAAGGTCGCCAGCCACCGAAGTTGGTGGGTGTAGCGACAAAAAACGGCCATATATAAAAAGCTAACGATCATTCCCCCACAACCTCTGCTTGGAGAGTAAAAGCGAAGTACTCTATGAAGTATAGGTCCGTACTATGTATATACTTGCAGTGTAACTTAACTCTCAAGAAATTATGTGCCCAAAATGACAATATAGTACGTTTGAGTGTTACATGTTTCTAGAACTATAGGCATTATATGTAGAAACTACCGATCACAATAGTGCAAAAATAGAACAGCATCAGTTGCAGTTCTGAAACTATTAAAGGCATCCAAAGCAGTTTTTACGGCTTGGAAACCCGTTTTTCAGAGCCAATATTCTAGTCATGTATCTAAATAGTGGGTTGAAACCACACTATCCCTGTGTATATTAACCCTCAGGGAGCAAAAATTCCCAAAATTCTGACACAAAATGGTTACTGGAAGGGCCCTGGGCTGATTTTTAGGGTACCGCCCAGAAAATAAAGGACTCATCTTGGGGCTTGTTTCTGTAGTTTTAAAAGCCAAAGTATGAAATGCTGACTCAAATATGCTAATGTAAAGCAGTATATGTCAATATCATAAAAATTTCCTTATATCCAGTTTTGCTGCTCTGAAATCGCATGGGATGCCTTTAAAGCAGTCATACAGTACAACAACTGAAAGGAACAAAGTAACAATGTCGCCAAACTATAGAAAACAACTAAATCAAACCAAACCAAACTAAACCAAACTTTTAACCAAACAATAGATCAAAGTACGTCGATGAAGGTTAGACATCCAGGTAATACGATACGCAAAAAAGCAGTTACTCAAGCAACTGGATTATCCTGATTTTAGAAACGGTCAGACGTTTCAGCTAGTATATCCACCAGTTTTCGTCAGTGACTGAGAGACCAGAGGAGAAATGCAGGTTTTGTCAAATTCACTTTCACCTATTGTTTTGTAGAGTTTGGTTTGATTGTATACATTTCCCTATTTCATTGACCATGTATATGTCTGCATAGAATGACTCAGTGACTTGTACTATGTAGATTTAGATCATACTAGAGAAGTAACATTTTCAAAGCTAATGCATAATGTTTACCTTCGGACATGGCCTGCTCTGTTAATTCTTACTCAAATACATTCACATACATGTACTACATGTACTAGTATATGGTGACAGGAGCAGAGCAGACCATGAAATTGCAACATTATGTAACCCAACACCAGTCACCATGGTGACAGACGTCAACAAATCATGTCACTGGTCAGGTCAGAGGTCACTGTTTGGAGAAGAGGAAGAGGAAGAAACAGAGCAAAAACAATTTGTTTTCCTTCGGTAAACATAATAATTGTCTTCATTTTCAAAATCATGCCCGAATGCTAATTGTTTTTACATAGTCAAAGATACTATACGGTACAATACAATAATAGGAAACAGACAACTGGAAAAACTTATACATCTACTACTACACTTGCTATTATGGGGTTTGACTTCTTCTTTGGAGACATATATATGATATGTATTTTGTTGAATCACCCCCCCCTCTATCAACCGGAAGTTCCGAACTACCCATCATGCATCATGGTCGTTCTGTCTTAATTGTTTGATTTACAGGTGATGAGCTACCCCACGCAGCAGACACAGTACCCAGAAGGCTCTGCGCCTCCACCAATCGGCTTCAGTGCGCAGCCGCCACCCTACACTACACAGGTGAAGATCAGCTGAAACTTATAATTTTAATAATATAATAATAATATAATAATAATTTAATAATATTTCAATAATAATATAATTGGATAAAACTATGAAAAATTTTTAAACTGTTCTCCAACTCATAAATTTCACTCACCGGAATTTTCGACTGAATCACTCAGTCTTCCTCAGCTATCTGACCCAAATGCTGTGGACACGTGATTCCCACGTGTGACGTCAGCAAAGGGTCAAAGGTTGTCTAAAGTCGATATCCGCCCCCCCCCCCCGTCCCGGTTGAGCAAAGGTTGAAGTGCCCTGATGTATATGGCCCCTTTCATGCCTCTCTTGAAGTAATCCTGTTCGGTATCCAAGATTCTAACCCCCTCCAGATCCACTGTGTGTCCCGGTGATTCTATGTGGTCAGATAGCTGAGGAAGACTGAGTGATTCAGTCGAAAATTCCGGTGAGTCAAATTTATGAGTTGGAGAACAGTTAAAATATTTTTCATTATAAACTTTACCAACTCAGATGAACTTTCATGCTGAAATTGGATAAAACGTTTATATTGAAGTCCGTTTGAATGATATGTTTGGTCCCCCCCCCCTCTCATTCTCCCCCTCTACCTCTCCCCCCTCTCTCTGTGAGTGTTCCCATGACCCTTAATGTTGTGATGGATATAGTTAGGTAGCGCCCGCTGTTTTCACAGGTGTTTTTCATTACATGACCTCCTTGACAACTGACATATGGTGTTTGCAAAATTTTGAAATCTGTGTTTGTTGTGTTCCGCCAGCCAATGGGAGCCTACCCTCCTCCCCAGGGCCCCCCGTTGCATGCTGGCGGAAAAGTTGCTCCCATGATGCCACCGCAGCAGTTCTCACAAACACCAGGTAAGCAAAAAAAATATTCCTGTCTTGAAAATTAATATATGTTGGTAAAAGTCATTATGATGCAAGTTTAAACATTAATTTCCCAACACAAGAAATTGGACTTCCCCAAATTTTCGACTGCACAACTGCAGTCTTTGTCAAGGAATGAGCAATCCCTACTAATTCAGGACAACACAACTATCACTCAACAAAGACGGGGGGCGCCACAGACTTTCTGCAACCTAGTACGATCCACTGCGCACAGAGTCACGTGCGTCATCTGCATAACGTGACGTCACAGAAGAAATGGGTTGCTCATTCCCTGGCAAAGACAATCAAAAATGTGGTTAATACAATTTCTTATGTTGGAAATTACAATTTAGACTGGATTTATAATGGGTTTTTTCTTTGAAACCTATCTTTTCTTTGAAAGCTTGCTCATGTAACCAACGAATGAATAATTCTATAACAGAAGAACTAATCAATTAAAAAACAATGGGCCTGAGTAAAGTTCAAGCTAATGTAGTTAAATGCCATTCGGCTAGATGTCGCCCTTAGTGCGCACATTTTATATTGAGATTGTATTAAGTACGTACAGACTGTAAAATCATGCATCTACAACCAATGCAATTGCATTAGAATTCGAAAATCAGTAGCGTAACCAGGCTTTCGTTACCACAGATTTGTGGTCAGCATAGCTTAGGAAGGTTTGGATGGATATTAGAATGACGGTTGATATGCTGCTAGGCCTTTGATAAGCTAAAGATCACAGCCGAGTACTAGTAAGGCCCTCCTGGCCGTCTACATAGGTACTGCAGCTTTTAAAAGTTTCAACTAACAACATTGTTCCTTTCAGTGATGTACCCTCAGCAGGTCCAGTACGTACAGCCGACCGTTGTCCACGTGACCCAGCCGCCTCAGCAGAGGAGTACTGACGATGACGACCTCTGCTGCCTGGCCTGCTGTGTCGCCCTCTGGTGCTGGTGAGCATTCATCATTTTCACACTTCCCATAATGCCTACTAAAGATAACGGATATGACGTATCCCCCTTCCTCGATGTAATATTTCCAACAAGTTCTATCGACAAACTGGTCAACTATATTGTTTTGAAGTATTTATATACTATAAATCGCATGCCATAATTGCATTTTTTGTTGGAATTAGAGAGAATGACGTACCTTCAACCGAAGACAATCCTCCTCGTACGGTCGCATTACGTGTATCCGCTTCTTACGTCATATCCGTGATCTTTACTAGGCATTATGGGAAGTGTGAAAGTCATGAATGCTCGTGCCACAGGCGCCATCTTGTTTCGATCAGGCTCTCTAGATCTGGCCTTCTTCGTAGGCGTCCCGTTCCCGTTTTGGAGAGGGAGGGGGGCGCTTATTTGCAATTTTTTTGTCTATTTTCTGATTGGTCAAGTTTTCTGATCGCACTCGCTTCTGTGACTGAATTCCCAGGGGAAAATGCAAATAAGAAAAGAGTGCAAACCAGTCCTCCCCCCAAAGACGTGGATGTAGAGAAATTAATATGATTAGAATATGTATATGTAAAAATCTCTATATTGTTAATCTTTTTCCTCTTTTTGGTTACCTGTTTATTTTGCGGTTTACTACACTACAAACTTGTGTGTCTATCGAAACCATGCATATGCATGTGTTAATGAGTTTTATTTGAAATGAATTATAAATAAAAAAAAATCCAATCTTTGCATGGCAGTTTCTGAAATTGTCAAATATATGAATATCACATACACGTACAAGCTGTATACATCAGCCTTTTTAAACCCCTGATCAGGCCGCTAGAAGCTTGATGACCAACACCTCTAAGTCAATCATATCAATCATAGTTTGTGCTGACGAAAGCTGGTGGATACTAGCTGAAACGTCTAACCGTTTCCAAAATCATTTTCAGTTGCTTGAGTAACTGCTTTTTTGGCGAGGCTCAAATAGCTCCTGACAGCGAAAAATTGTCTAACACAGGCTACTCACTCCACACAAAGCATTATTATGTTTACTGAAGGAAAACATTTTGTTTTTGCTCTGTTTCTTCCTCTTCTTCTTCTCCAAACAGTGACCTCTGACCTGACCAATGACATGATTTGTTGACGTCTGTCACCAAAGTGACTGGTGTTGGGTTACATAATGTTGCAATTTCATGGTCTGCTTTGCTCCTGTCACCATATTATATACGAGTACTAGTAGTACATGTATGTGAATGTGCACGTGTTTGAGTGAGAATTAACAGAGCAGACCATGTCCGAAGGTAAACATTATGCATTAGCTTTGCAAATGTTACTTCTCTAGTTGTACAAATGGTTTTAATTCAGTGGGAACATCACATATACACAGCCAACCTCACTGCATCAAAGTAATAAACAACACATTAAATCAAAGCTTTTTCTTGTCTCCTCTCTTCATAGTTATCTGCCATCAACCTTCTTCCGGCATGGCAACAGACATCTTTGCCCATTTTCGGCATGCTGACCACTGTCAGAAGGCAACAAAAGTTCTTTTTTTTCCAAAATCAGGCAAAAAATTAATGCGCGCGCTGATGTCATCATTAAAAATTACTTGCTGTGGCCTTATATTATATATAATGCCCCTTGCGGAAATGGTTTTGAAATTGAATATTAAGGACTATCAACGTGAAGTGACGACTTACCCGGTAAGACAGCACAGTACGACAGGCGCCGTGATGTCTGCAAACGTGCGTTATTTGGAAGCGCGTGTCACCCGAGATATTTCAAAACAAACTTTTACCCATATGTTAGAAGACATTGTCAGAATTCTCTCGTTCCCTAAAGATCTGCCATTGTGGTTCACACGGTATTAGGAGAGAAATTAACTAGAGAAGTAACATTTGCAATGCATAATGTTTACCTTCGGACATGGTCTGTTCTGTTAATTCGTACTCAAACACATTCACATACATGTACTACTAGAGCAGACCATGAAATTGCAACATTATGTAACTCAACATCAGTCACCATGGTGACAGACGTCAACAAATCATGTCATTGGTCAGGTCAGAGGTCACTGTTTGGAGAAGAGGAAGAAACAGAGCAAAAACAATGTGTTTTTCTTCGGTAAACATAATTAGATCGACATATTAGGAGTTCGTGCATCACAACAAACATCCTTGATCACACATCACAGGTCTTAACTATAGAGTCATGGCATAAGGCCACAACAATTTAATTTGTTGTTTCTCGGATTCGCCCTGTCCATTTTTTTCTGATTTGCAAAAAAAAACCAGATTTTTTTTGTTCTAAATCAATTGCAAAATGCTCAATGAAAGACACATTTGGCCCCAACGGTCGAAGAATGTCCTTTTCTTCCTAGTTGTTAAAGTTTTTCAATATAATAGTGAAATGTTGTTTCATTGAAAGTTCAAAATATATTGTTTAAATTATAACCCAGCCTGGTATGTTTACTAATGGCTCATATTGTAACGTTTCTGGCTATCATGGGGTGCTTTGGCCTTTTTTTTTGCCCTGTCGCTTCATTTTTTCTGCAAAAATTTGAGAAGCAACAAATCAAATTGGTGTGACCTAAATAAAAAAAAAACACCCAGGCGAATTGCTTGAAGTCAAATATTTTACATTCACAAGTCAAAAAACGTAGCCACAGACATCTTTGACTAGACTGTATACGATACGTTTACGCCTAGTTCACAAAACAGAGCCTTTTGTTTTACAATTAGACCATGTTGATTTGATTATATGGATGACATCCACGCGCGCATGAATTTTCGG